TTATATCACTTGCTCACCAATGGATCCTCTGCAGTAAATGGGTGCTGTCAGAACGAGAGTCCAAACAGCTGATAAAAACATCACAATAATCCACACCACTCCAGTCCATCAGTTAACATCTTGTGAATGAAAAGCTGTTTGTAAGAAACAAATTCATCAAAGAGTTTTAACTAAGGTACTTTAACTTTAAAACATCAAAATACAAGTTCATAATCCATAATAATGATTACACTCCAGTGAAAACGTCCATCCCCTGTTGTCATCTCACATCAAAATCCACTCACATATTAGTTTCGAGCTGTTTTGGACTGTTTTCTCTTGTAAACAGTGCTTGATCTGTGTATATTTCTCTCCTGATTCAGACGAGACAATTATTTCACTGGAGAAAGCAATATTATGGAGAGAGGACTCATATTTTAGCTGAAAGCAACAATGAAAAATGTCTTGGTGGATTCGTGTGGATTATTGTGATGTTTTTATCAGCTGTTTGGACTCTCGTTCTGTCGGCACCCATTCACTGCAGAGCATCCATTGCTGAGCAAGTGATGTAATGCTACATTTCTCCAAATCTGTTCTGATAAACAAACTAATCAACATCTTGAGGATTAGAAAAATGTTACGTTTTTGGGTGAACTAGTACTATTCCTTTAACTAACCTATGATCTTGAGGCGTATAACAAACCAAACAGCACTAGTGACTTCACACTTCAGGAAGAGATACTGAAGATTCCGTAGCATACAAAAATGCTTGAGAATCAACACGAATGTACAGTTTCACTCCAGGTCACAGTGAATTCTGTTCAAGCATCTGTATCGTCTGTTTCAGAGGATGGGAATGTCGGTGGAAAACAGCATTTGTGTTGTTTGATGGACAGTCGTAGCCTTTGAGATCAAGAACTGGGTAAATCTTACAAAATCTAAGGTCATATTTCAGCCCAAAATCAAAATGAAAATTAATATATAATTAGGACCATTATTAAGACTTTTTGCATTGTGGTATTATTTATCATTTTCATTAGTATAAAGTGAAAAAAGTATATTGTTAAGCATTTATATATTATGGTGCATTTGTATGGATTTTTTTAATATATTTTAAATGAACAAATAATTGTATTACAGTAACATAAGTCTACTGAGAATCATTGAGAATAATAAGAATTATAAATGAGAATTTGTGAAGAAAATATTCTCATGAAAATAATGCATAATATGATGCAAAAAATCTTAATGGTGTTAACAGGCTTTATTTAGTCAGATAAAATATTTTGTTGTGAAATACAACTCATATTTTTGTGAGATTCATCCCGGGGGAGGAATTATAATTGTGTCAAAAAGAAAATGTTTTTTTTAAATCAAATATACATACTAATTTGGACAAAATAATTAATATATTAATATTTAAATAAATTATTATATCATGTTTTGAATCATTTATCACAGATCTGAATAGGCAGTGGTCAATGCTCATTTTGTTTTTTTTGTTACAAATGTCTGTTTTGAGCACTAACTGACCACGTCGGGTTTTCCAAACCATATCTGCGTCAGCAAATTTCACGTCTCCAAACTATATTTACAAAGTTTCCCTTCACGTTTGTCACGTAGAGCTATGATTGCGCCACATACAGCTACATCACATAGCCACAATTACCAAAACACCTTGGCTTGATGCGTTCGACTTTGAAAGAAAGCTGTCAAAATCATATAGTACTATACAGCAGGAAAACTAGACCAGAACTGTCTTTGTTTGTGCTAAAAGGATAGTTCAGTCCAATAATAGCTTATGAGACTCAAAGTGCTCCTATGGTCAAAATCTCAGAAAACTACAGCACTCAAATGTATGCTGCTGGGTCAGAGACATTATAAAAAGTGCATATTGTTCAATAATTCTGTTAGATACTGATGAAATTGTATAATGCCTTTAAACGGTATTTGTTGCATACCAATGCTGAAAGCTTTGAGAGAGTGTCTACATGATAAGCATGCAATAGCAGGCATAACAGTCTGCATAACTAAACACCTCAATGTCGGGCTGAACCCGCAGCCCCTAAAATCACAGTGAGATCACGTCCAGTGTTGAAGACGACGCTCCTTTTTGGAGTTTTTTAACATACCTTTGTCCTCTCGAATCGAGAGAAAGAGTGTATTTGTGCTTGTGCGATCGCCTTCAGTCAGCTCTGGAGCTCTCTGAGCCCCAGATTAGTGTCGTCAAATGGTGCTCTCGGTGTGCGCGTGCGTGAACGTGTGCATGTGATGCGCGTGAGGGTTGGGGAGGGGCGTCGGGCTGCTGTTGCCGTGGGGATGGGGGGCGGGGCTGGAGTTGGAGTTGGTGTTCAGGTGCGGCTGGTTCTGAGGGTGGATGTGGCTCGGACGGCGTTTGGACAGGCTGTTCTTGTCGTTGAGCAGCGAGGTTGTCTCATCCGGCCCGTTCTCTCTGGGTGCCGGCGGCGCTGTGGTGTGGTTCACGGTGGAGGACATGGGAGGGGTCAGAGGTGGAAGAGGGCCGGGATCCAGACGGATATGGCTGCTCTCAGGGGACTGGGGCATGCTGTCCAGTTTCGAAGCCAGGAGGCCAGTTTGGTACTGCGAACGAGTGACCTGAAAAAGAAAAAAGGTAGTAAATCAAAACTTACTTGCACTACTGCTCAATTTTTTATTTTTGGAAAGAAATTAATACTTTTTCTCAGTACGGACTCGATCCCATTAAATTGATCAAACGTGAGAGTAAATATTTTTGTTACAAAAGATTCAAAAATCATAAATGCTGTCATTTGAACTTATATTCATCAAAAAAAGTATCAGTTTCCACAAAAATATTAAGCAGCACAACTGTTTTCAACATTATTAATACAAAATGCACAAATATTTTGATCCCAGTAACTCAGCACACCGTCCTTAGTATTTGATAATGCTACATTCCACTCTATATTTAAATATTTGAATTTAAATTAAATATGAATATAATATTTAAATATTAAAACAATATTAACAAAATTAATACAAAAAAATGTTTTTTAATATATATATATATATATATATATATATATATATATACACAAACACGCATGTACAGGTTGGTCTTGACTGACTTAAAATATTTACATTTCAATTAAATATTAAAACAACAGCAATAATAATAATTTAATGATACTGAAAATTCAGCATTCCATCACAGAAATAAATTACTTTTTAAAATGTATTCAAATAGTTTTTTCAATTAAATAATTGTTGCCTTTGTGAGCATAAGAGACTTCCAAACTTTTAAACGGTCTAATCTAGACACTCACTGTTCAGACATAACTTCGATTGTTCTAATTTTGAAAACTATAAGCATAAATAAAATAATTATCCATTGTCAGCAAATGTGTTTATTTTTATGACTACCAATAGAGAACAGGTTGACCTGATAAAATGCAGATAGACAAATATAATACAATTGCTTTAGATCTACAAAACAGCTGAAATTAAAGTGAAGTAAAGTGAAGTATAAAAATAGTCCATACAACTCATGTGCTATATTCCAAGTTTTCTGAAGTCATACACACATTTATGTGAAGACCAGACCGTAACTTTGTTGTTATCGGCTGTTTATGGACATAACATACCTTCACATACTGCAGGTCAGTGAGGGCCCGCACGTTAAAATCAGGGACGTACTGTGCCACGGGGCTGTTATTGAGCTGACTGTTACTGCCGATGATGGACACCGAGTCGACTCTCTCCGTGCAGCTCAGA